GACGGGGTGGGGGCTGCAGCGAAGTGGAGGCTGCAGCGTTTTTGGGAACTGCAGCATTTTTGGGAGCTGCAGAGTGCTGGGCAAGAGGGGCTTGAAGTGTTCAGGGGGGGCTTTGGTGTTCTGGGGGTCTGCAGTGCAGTGGGGGGACCCCAGGTGTGAGGGGGTCTGTGGGCAGGGGCACAGCAGGGACACTGGCAGGGCTGGAGGGTCCCCAGTCCTTGGGTACCCCCCCATTCCAGGAATTCCATCCTTATTAAGGATAATCCCTATGGCAACCTGTGGGCACTCCCAGGTGGGCACGGGCTGGGGGCCATGGAGTGGCTGCCAGGGCCTTTCCCTGCTGGGATTTGGCTGGAGCAGGGAGGAATCAGCCCCCGGGACTGGGGAAAAGGCACATATTGACCGACTAAAAATAGCACTGCCATGGAATGTCATGGAAAACCCCCAGCATCAGGATTTGGGGGGCTGTCCTGGTGCCCGCCCCGGTACTGGGGAGCAGCGGGATGAGGTGGGATGTGGTGGGATGCTCCAAGCACAGGGCTGGGATTGGGATTGGTGTTGGGATCAGGGTTGGGCTTGGCCTTGCAATTCAAGTTGGGATCAGCTTTGGAATCGGGGTTGGGATTGGCCCTGGGACCAATGCTGGGATCAGTGCTGGAATCAGTGCCGGGATCGGGGTCGGACCAACCAACTGGGAATTTACAGCTCGAGCACAACAAAAACAACGGAGAAATATGGGGGGACATGGCAGTTTTCCGGTAGTCCCGGAGGACAAGGCAGCTCCTGCCAGGCTCAGTGCAGTGGCCATTGCAAAGGAACCGGGGGGCACCTCGGGGGTGGTCCTTTCCTGGGTTATCCATGAGCCCCTGATCCTCCCAGCGCCCTCCTCCTTCCCAAACCGATCCGGGGTCGGTTCGTCACCGGCGGCTCCCGGCCCGTGAGTCAGCACAGCCGGAGCCGCCGGATAAAAATATCCCGCTGGGTGTGGGGGTGGGCAGGGATTTGGCTGCTGACGGGAACACGTGTCCGGGGCCACCGTGGGAACCGTGGGGACCCGGACGGGACCCGGAGCCGAGCTCGGTGTGGGCACCAGGAATTCACCGAGGCGCAGCACCCTGGACTCCCGTGGCCTCCCCGCCACGACATTCCCAGGCAGCATCCCACGTTCCAGGCGACCTCTCTGCCCTGACATCCGCAGGCAGCATCCCGACCTCCACGCGGCCTCCCCGCCAAAACATTCCCGCGCAGCATCCACGACCTCCACGCGGCCTCCCCACCACGACATTCCTGGGAAGCATCGTGCCCTCCCTGCTGCAGCATTCCTGGGAAGCATCTCAGCTTCCATGTGGCCCTCCCTGCTGTGCCATTCCGGGCAGGTGCAGCGAGGAGGCTCCGCAATGTGCCGAGGCAGCGGAGCGAAGCCCCTGGGACGCGGGTCAGCAGTTCCTGGCAGCGCGAGATGCTGAGCAGGGAGGGGGAGGACTGCAGTGTCCCCGTGTCCCTGTGTCCCAGTGTCCCAGTATTCCTGTGTCCCAGTGTCCCTGCGTCCCCATGTCCCTGCATTTCTATGTCCCTGAATCCCTGTGACCATTTCTTCATGTTCCTACATCCCTGTTTCCCCGTGTTGCTGTCCCTGCATCTCCATGTCCCCACATGCCCATGTTCCCATAGCCTTGTGTCCCTGTGTCCCTGCATTTCCATGTCCCTGCTAGCCCGTATCTCTGTGTTCCCATGTCCCTGTGTCCCTGCATTCCCATATCCCTGTGTTCCCATATCCCTGTGTCCCTGTGTTCCCATGTCCCTATGTCCCTGCATTCCCATGTCCCTGCATTCCCATATCCCTGTGTTCCCATATCCCTGTGTCCCTGCATTCCCATATCCCTGCGTTCCCATGTCCCTGTGTCCCCACAGGCTGCAGTGCCACTGGTGGGCTCCATTCCAGACCCCCACAGGCACTGCTGGCCTGGAGCTGCTGCCACAGATGCACCCATGGC